CTCATGCCCACTAGATTGCGAAAACCCTCCAGTTTTTCGTCAACCTCCACACAAGGGGAGCGTAGTCACCTTTCCAGGGGTGTGAATAAAGAACATAATAGGTTCTTTTGGTAAGTGCGAGTATTACGTCCTGCTGCCGCCGCTCTATTGCTCTCACCTTTTCATGAATGGATTTATTTCGCCAGTTCAACGAAGTAGAAGAAGCTGCTTCGAGATACCTTCCCGCTGTTTCTATTCATGTGATTGGGTTGTGTTCAGCATGAGCACACAAACAGAGCGTCACTCTCCTGGATAGTCAACTAGAAACCGGGTTATAATCTCCTTGCAGCATGCTCTCATCGCAGCAAGCTATATTTCTGAAGCTGAAATGTCGGTAAAATGATACTTCATGTGGCAGTGTGTCTATTGCGGAAAGGGTTGCCCCTCCACCCAATATGATGGTGCCCGACTTTTCCCAACCCAGAACACACCACACTTTCTCCACTGACTCCTCCTGTCCACCCCACCCCACCCCCACAAATCACCTTTTCTCTCTCTCGTCTAGAATATTCTCAATGGCACCTCTATTATCCTTCGCGACTCCTCTTTTATCCCCTCCTTCGAGCCAGCTTTCCCTTCGCCTCTCCATCTGCTGCCGTGGATTTCACCCAACAAGGCCATCTTGAGAGAAAATTTTGCAGCTCCGTCTGGCTGCATAGATACAAAACATCTCTCAGTTTAGTTGTCTGAGCAGTGTCACATCGCGTCGTCTGTCTTCTTTCCCACTCCTAATAACGTCACCGAACCCATCACACTCCCCACGATCGAACGTTAGTCCACTCCAAATCAGTCCCGACTCTCAGTGCCACCTGTGAGTTGTCACCTCGAGCGTTGCGTCTAAGCTGCCCAACAATGGTTTGCATCTTTTCTCATTTTCGTAAGTACCTACTTTTACTCTAAGTGAACTGGCCTTCATACGCACATCGACTAACATCAAGACTGCCAGTTTTGCCTCCGTTAACTACTATTGAGCAATGCGGGCCCCAAAACAATCCCATCATCAGGGTGAATTCGGGCGGTCAATAAATCACAGATCTGCTGTGGCTATAAGACATGTTGTCACACTGACAGTCCATATCACAGGAGTCCAAATACCTTCTACAGGTAATCCAGATCAAGATGCATCTGACGCTATCACACCCCGTAGGTGAATGCTTCAACAAAAAATCCAGTTTGCGGTTCCTGACATTCACAACGATGCTGTACTCAAAATCTAAAGGGCTCGAGAGCCTTACACCGACACAATCTTGGAACTTCATCGTCGTTGATTACAATCATGTCAGAGACTCTCATTAACGAGTTAGATTGAGAATTGTGTTCCTTTGAGCATTCAGTGTTGCATTACAAGCGCTTAGGGCTGCTGAACAAGAGATATTGGATTTGCTTACGAGAACAGTCAACACGAGACAGAGGGCATGTCGTTATTGGTAAGGCTACTAAACCTTGGGCACTACATTTATTTGGTCACTGTCACATTTAACTAACATAAACAGATGCCATACGCAATCTAACTCGCTTACCATAACCTACATTGATAATTGGGGGCCGAGCAAGACTCCCGCCGCCTTGCTTAGTTGACATGGTACACCATAGCAACACAGAATATTATGTGTTCGATTCGATCATTGACATTGATCCTGCCGATCCTGCTCAGACCAACTTCTTCATTTTTATACACCGAGCGAACCGCATGTTGGAAAAAGAAACACACGGACACAAGACGGTATGACCAAAGAAGGTGGCATACTACAACTGAAGTTCCGATGAGCCTGCCCCCAAGCCTCTCTTATCGTATGGGTACAGCAACAGGTCAAGCTCCTATGAGGCACATTTCTCATCGCTCCAAGACTACCCATGATGGCTAATGGGGACTAGAATAAAAGCACCATTCTCCACGCCTTTACACTGTGGAAAGTTCTATGGAATCGTAGCAAGAGAATGCAGTAGGGATCCCGATTGCCATGCTAGGATCATGATTTCTCCCGATTACATTCCATGATCGGATCCATCTGTCGAATTCATCGATGCTCAGTATTTTTAGGACGCCAAGTGTCTTGATCTCTCCACCAGCTTCACCGTTGAAGAATGTACGCCCTTATACAGTTTTGTCGTCACAGCGAGTCCTCGCCTAGGTACTGCGTTCCCAAGAACATGCAAATGATTATGGCCCAACACCAAATATTCATGGCGAGACCGGTCGCCACCCAATCTTGCCAACAGCATGCTACATCTCATCTATAATCCCCTGGGCTGCATTATACACGACAGGTTCCATCATTTGCCGCTGAATGCGGACGACTCGATCCGTTAAATGCTTGTACACAGGAACCAGCACCTTATCACCTCAGCAATCAACTTGTTTACATCGCAGCACTCACACAAACTCACTAAAACTGTCACCAACTCAAGAGCAAACGGACGCGCGCACGTTCTCCTAGTCGCGTCTCTACCCGCAACATGAAGATATATCACCTTTATAATGATTTAATTCTCCATAAACTATCGCCTAACACCATGAGTCTTTATGGCTCATGGTGAAGGGCAAGGTAAGTACCTGGCCCCTCCCCCAAAAAAATCCCTTCTGGGGTTTTCTCAACCGGACCAGGGCGGTTGAGTTTTTGCCAGTTGGTGCCGGTTCGATTGCATAACTGTCCGGTTTGGTGTTTTCCTTTCTGGGCACATCTTCAAGCAGGACTTGCAGTGAAGTGCTTGTGACATTTCTGACGTTGGCGGCAGTGCGAACGGACCAGATGAGAGAATGTCAACTGGATAGCCTTGGAGTATGAGCAAATAGGGACTCCATCGTGGTTGGCTTGCTTTTTTGCGTATGCGAGGCATAATAGGTCTTTCGTTGAATTTGCTGCTGGAGGAGTTGATCCGGCTTGCCTTCTGCGGTCTCCGGTGGAGCGCAAATATCCTACCCAAGACCAATCAATGCACAAACATTAAAGAGGTTTGGATATTCGTTCCATTTCTCCAGGCACATGTGCTAGAGGAAATAAATCAAATCATCAAATCCTGCGCCCTGGTCGCGCATGGATTTGGGATAAAAGACCTCTTACAGTGAGAGAGCTCTGGTTTACATTATACCACTGCTCTTATAAAGAGAGCCGACATCTTAAATTAAGAAATAGAATCAATGCAATGTGTCTGTCCTAATGCAAGAAAGTGCACTAAACTTATGAGAAGAGGATGGACATGGTAGGAAGAGCCACGAAAACCGCACTCGTAAAGTGGATTCGAAGAGAGGGCATAGACGGGAAATAAGAGGCAGATACGAAAATGGCGAGCTGATTATACCAACCTCAAAAAGGGGTGGAAAGACACATGGAGCTAATGATGCGAGGAAATGAGAGAGAGAAAAAGCGACGAGATGAGTATTTGGTAGCAAAATTCGTTTCGCTCCACCCATTTTCAAACGCCATGCCATGCCGTGTATGGTAAAATATGTGTAAACCCATAAATATGCTTCCAAGGTATCTCGTTCAGTCCGTTATCTTTTCGTGCCTATCCTACCTCCTCTACTCGACTCTTCTAAAATCGCTACCAGAATACCACAACACTGCAGCGGCACATCGAATATAGTTCCAGTCGCTGCTCTCGTAGGGTTGTTGATACAGCCGTAAATGATGTTGTATTTCCCTACTTCTTTCCGCGTTTCTGTTCCAGGAAGAGCACCTGTTTCCGCACTGCGAACACGTCAGTTTCTGACAGTTTATGACCTTTCCCCCCCGGCCCCTCCCCCCCAAATCACCGCACGCTGGTATGATGCTAGCCTGCCCTTTCTTTGGTGTTGGATGTTTTTCGAAGTTCTTTTCGAGCACGGATTCTACCGTTCGTGGATGTGGAGTACATGTATGGTGTGGTCAGGGAATCGTACCGATAGGATCATATTTGAGCATGCTCAGCGGGCGATGAGCACGCGGCCTCATAAGTGTTCGGTAGTAGCCTGTCATTGCCATCGAGATAAGGCGTACCATAATGGTGCGGGATTTAGCTACAGACAGCGGTGTTAGTCAGGGTTTGAAAAAAGTTATTGAATCAAGTTCGGTTACTCAAACGCTCATTGAGAGCCATTGGGATGTCGAAGCTATTGTTGGAAGTGGTCCGTACGATTGTGCGCATTGGGAAATGACTACATACCTTTTTTGGCCATGCTGGCAGCGGTGAGGAGGTGTGGTGATGATTCGCGATGTGTTGGAGATGAAGTGTGAGGTTGTCAAAGAGTGAGCTTTCGCATCGGCGCATCTTCGGATTTGTCCGACCAGCCAATCAGCAAAATGCCTGCAGCTCCATGATTCTAATTCGCTCCTGATTTTTGGACTCTGAGTCAGTCTTTTCCATGGCTCGCAATACCACACCACTCCACGACTAATTCAATAATTCCTGTGTCCTTCAAACTCTGAAGTCCCGAAATCTCTGGCTCCAGAATTGTTTTCCCACGATTTATTTTATCAAGATTTTGTGGCCCCATGTTTTCTAGAAGCAGATCATACTAGTAATACCATTTAGACGACATGATACCTGCTTAGCATTTCTCCAAAAATACACTGAAAGAAGTTCTTCTCTCATACCTAGCCTCAGAGATAAATACCAGTAATCGATAAGGCCGCTTGGGATATCCATGCTTTCATTGGCTACCTGCCGTTATGCTTACCTTCGATTCGAATCAACCAAAGTTGCCTACATTGCAAGCCTGTCTGGAATCAGAATTTTTGCGTGTATGTACGCATGTAGACCTCAAGCCATAGTGGGACATGAGTTTTCAGACGGATTCATTCTTGACTCATTGTGCTAACGTAAAATTCATTACAAAAAACCCAAGTACATGCCAGTGCTCACACCGCGCCTTGAACGCTTTACAGAACATCCCCCTCTTTCCCCAATTCAAACAGTTATTGAAAGCTTAATGGTATAGTATTATTTCTTCATCATCGCTCCCACGAATTCAAGCTCATTTCGACAAGATGGCCGAGTTAGTTAAGGCGCTAGACTCGAGCGAAAGCTTGCCAGTATTACACTGGCCGAGTGTTCTAGTGGATTTCATCCGCGGGAGATCGAATCTCCCTCTTGTCATTTTTTGACAATCACTCCGGCGTGATAATACTAGCTAATTGACTGCAACTATTGATTTTTCATCTACACTGTTCGAGCGGTGGACTTTGGCTGATATCGGTGCGAAAATTATTGAGGTTGTGTAATGATCCCGCACAGTGAGTGGCACAATGTTCGGTCCTCATTATCGAACGAGAGTTCCTTTTGTAGAGTCTAAAATACTACAAGCTAGGGACGGGCAGGAACAGGGTTGTGAAGCGTCTATCTCATGTCGTCATATTTAGGTGTCCCTCGAACGCTGACCCCGTCTATTAGAACCCCCTTCAGCCCATCTCAAGAGCACCAGTCGTTTCTCCACTTCTCACATCGACTTCAAGACTGAGACAACTCTCAATATAGTCTCATAGGATTTAATTCAAGCATACGACAGCGGAGTGCATCACTAGGGAAGACATAGCGAAACCATGATCCCTTTTTAGTTCACATCTCTATCTTTGCTATCCAACCAAGCTGAAAACAATGCCATCCAGGCACATGTCTTCCTTCGATACAGTCGGCTAACTTTCTGAGGCGAGATTCGATGTTGTGCATGACAACACAGAGTACTCTGCTGTGCCGCATGCAAGCGCCTTCCCGACTGCCACTCCACGTTTCTGCGGCTATTTACGTCCCTAAGAAACAACTATCGCCATTGAAGGTAGAGTAGAAATCCAGTCATGAAACTGCTACTACTTTACGTGGGCATGATGTCCAATCTCTGAGGTATCGAACTGGCCGCGCGTGTAACTGCAGCTTAAGCAGTGACAACTCGGTACCTATCCGTCAAAAGCGGATCATGCATGCACCATGAGACATGTTCTTTTTCCAGACAGTTCTCCTTTTCGATATGCACGGATGAGAAGAATAAAACTTGGTTTGACAAACTCGTTTCGTACCTGGAAATAGTCGTATGCGCGTTGATGCATGTTGAGATCTGTCCGTGAAAGTCAGTTGGAAAATGTCGGTCAATTATGGGGCCAGAACATCCAAGGGCAGCTATAGCCTCGTTCTCTGAGACACACACACACACACATGCTCTTGACTTCGGCGATGGGGCGGTTCCCCACGACGCGTGTACTCCAGGGCTGTCCGGTGGCCTGTTAGCTCTCGGGCTGCGGTATGAAGGCCACTTGACATAGTCCAGTCCGGCTGAGCGTGTGTACTAGGCGACTTAGCCATTCCACAATGCCGGGTAGAGAACTCAAATGTAGTTGAACAGAGGGACGAGGGTGCTAGCATGTCCTATTTAGAGTGGCTTAGTTCTTCACGAAGCTAGTACCAGATGACATAACTCTTCTTGCATAGGATGATCACGATATACATGATCTTAGTCCAGGCGCTAATTCTCGACACTGTACTTTCCCCCATCTACCCATGTAACGCCTATTAACCTGCAACTCCCTCGGCCATGTCCGACTCGAGACCTTCCTCAGCCACGGACTGGCAGAAAAAACGATAGTAATTGGACGGCTACACGCGTCAATACTAGATAGCTGTCAGTTGAAACACAGAATGAAGGGGGCGCAGGTACAGGAACCTGTGGGGGCTATTTATGGATAGGGCTACTCACGTGATATTCGGCCCCCAACATCCATTCCGAAATGGGCTGGCACCTTTCGCCCAGTTTGTGTGAAACCCGAGCAGCGAGCCTTCTTGTTGATGAGATGGAGACGCAAATACCTAGATACAGACCAATCGATGGTGCCCGGATTCCATACCGATCAAAAGTCACCCTTGGGGCCGAGTATTGAAATGAACACGAGCCGTGGCGCTGTCAAACCTACAAATACTATGATATGATAAAAGAACGAGAGCAGGTGTTCAGCCGCAGCAAGCCACAGTGACCAGCATTTATCACGTGTGGTTTGTGGCTCAACAGAGCACAGCCCCGTTCATTCTCGTACACAGTGAGATGGATGAATTGGCCAATGTGCGTGGAGTTTTCTGCCGTTTTGCGAAACTGGGCACTGCCCTGTGCGACCTAAGGCAGGAAACTCTTCGCATCTCGGTTCTTATTGCACCAGAGACACCAAAGACAGGGCATGACTGGGTGGTTCCTTGGGATGGGTATCTGGTAGCGAGCATGAACGTAAAGCACGGCTGCCCATTGCATCCGCGTGGAACAGCGCAAAAGTCGCGGAGTGGGAGCGTTCCCTCGGGATAGCGCCAGCAATTGGAGTCCTGAATCCGCTTTCTTCTTCCTCTCCTGTGTAAGTCGGGAGGGAGCAGTGCAGGGGGAAATTAGCAGGCACGAAGCGAGCGATCCACAATCTGTATTCCAGAATCAGATTGTGGTCTTTTTGCATATTGACCGGTGAGGCTGCCGTGCATAACAAGTTGCAGATGGCTTGCAGCTTGCGCAAGCGACCGGTGATGAAGAGTCGGTCAACGGAAGAGTAGGTCCATCAGGCATGTATTATCCAAGTCATTGCAGGTGACGACATTGGTGGTTTGGATGGACAACCATGCGCAAAGAGGTCGGAGGCCTTCCAGTGCTCGGAGCAGCGGGGTTGGGAAGCCTGCGTTTTCAGGCATGCCCCGATTAGCATTGCGATGGGTGCTGGGAAAGTCCTTGCAATGTGATGTGCAATCAATGCCAACGCATAGAGTCTCCTCATCTTACGCGCAAGTCAATTGATCTCTCGATAGTTGACAATATCTGAATGCGCTTTGTGGGGATTGCTATTGCTCTTTCTGGACGCCGGTGTGGTCGCGATGCCGTCGACTGGTGTTGAGGGGTCCGCTTCAGTCCGCTTCAGTGGGGCATCAGGCCGAAAACCTCAAAAGGGTCAACGTGGTGCTACCCAACCACCACGCCAGCGTCCACTCTAACAAATTCTCCTTTTGAACAGCCGACATGACAACGTGTTTCATGTGTCCAGACTAGTTCAGGAACCGATCATCCAGATGTCTTGTTTTGTTGTTGTTCCTTAAGAGCCAACTGGGCATGTGGTCTTTGCAATGGATGTTTGGTTGGTGATACAGCAGCAGTATCCACATCACCAACCCCATACCTAACCTTCACATGTCCTGATGCATCGCATGAGCTGACCATCTCCCCCAGATATGATCGAACTAGCATTCTGCCTCTTCTTCAACTCCCCGCAGCATCCGCCTCTACCGATTCCGAGCATGATTCCCATGGGAGTCCGACTCCCGCTTTGCCAGGTCACGACTCTCGCCACCGATCTCCGCCGAAATATCCCCATCCCTCGCAACGCGGCGACATTATCCATTGCCTCACTTTTCCCTTCTTTGAACCTAGCAACCGCACACCTCATGTTCTCCACATGCCCGTGAACCCTTGGGGCATCTTCGGTTGTACAGTACTCCCTACGTGTCAACATGATCTTCAAGGTGGGAAACCAGATCAGCAACGTCAATACTCTTCTCGCTCCAGCGGGACATGAGCAAGCAATGTGCAGAGTTGGGCATGATGAGGCTGTAAATGCACAAGCACCGCACCCTGATAAGAGCATTTGAGGTTAGAAGAGGCTTTCTGCCGTCCACGGTATCCTGGACTGTCAAGTTTGACGTGTTGTTGAAGCGACGCGCACGGTGGCAGCCATCGATGATCCTGGAGAGGGAAGAAGAATCAGGGCCACCAAAACCTGGCAAAGCGACGTGGAGAGGTCCCGGGCGGCGATTCCGGATAGTCCGTCTACGCACGAGGCCACATTTGTTGCTTGCACTGGTGTGGGAGGCGTTATCACCATCATCACGACAAATGTCCGTATGTTTCCTTCAGAGTGGCACGGCGAGACAGATAGATTGCACCATCTCGCCTCATGTGAAATGACCAAAAATGTGGTCTTCGGGGTCTTCGAGGTCTTTGAGGTCTTCTCGCGCAGCGGCGTACTGCCAACTTCCCCAACTTCCAACGTCGGACCAACTTGTCAATAGTCTACGCGGCGAGAGAGTGGAACGTGCAGTCCCAAATTACGCTACATATAACACACACAGAACATTCTTGTTTCCGGGGTGCAAACATGTTTCATCGCCGGAAACAGAAAGAGGGAGAATCGGTGTCATGACCACCGGAGGTACTGAATTTGACGTTACTGCTGATGATGATGGTGGTGGTGATGATGATGATGACGATGATGTCGATGTCCCGACCTTGTTGTTTGCGCCAACCGCTACCTAAGGATAGAAGGACAATTTAGCGACAGGCGATCGGCCAGGATTCGACGCCTGGTTTTCCCAAACGTCGCACCTCGCCACAGCAAAGACTCGCCAACGTCACCTTGATAGTTGTAGTGACTGGGTATGCGACGCACTTGCGGGGGGGAGTCGCGGAGGAACAGCCATATTGTGCAGACTACTAGATGCAGGGCCTTTCTGCCCAGATGGCATCACGCAAGCCCAGAACAGAAGAAGTGGCACGGAGCGATGAGCAGGGTCATTCATTTAGTTACTCACTTAAATTACTCTCAGGGTTGGATGGGACAAGTGCAAAACCCTTGAGTGCAAAAAGCACAACAAGTGCAAAAACAGAAAAGAAAAGCAATGACTCCTTCACTCTACCATACCACACTCGACGAGACTAGACTTAGTCTTGCACTATGCGCACCCTCAGCTCGCTCGCTCCTCGATCCTCTATCGATAAAGGGCGGGAGCCTGGCACCGACCACGCGGAGGCCTGGCACTAGTCTCCATCCGACCCTCCCGCCCTTGACCCTGATTATGATTAGCTGGGCGCAGGCAAAGGCGCAGGCAAAGGCGCAGGCAGCAATCGCAATCGCAATCGCAACAGCATCGCAAGACTCACGCCTCGAACATCATTCAGATCCATCGTTACAGCTCGCTAGATGGATGGATTGCGCAAAGTCTCGGGAACCAAAGGACGGGAAAAGTCGGAATAGTACAATACGACCTCACCGTTGGTATCCTCACACTCTCTCTTACTGTCTCTCGTTCTTGTAATTACATACAGACTCATAATAGTGCACATTCATTCGTTCATTCATTCATTCATTCAT